ATCTAACCTTTCAATTCTCCTTCGAGTGCAACGTACAAGATTCTGGATAGAAAACACTTCTTACCTATTGGAGGATACTGATAAATAGTACGCAACTTGATTTTCATCTGTTCTGTGATAATTATCCCCAATAAAACGCTGCTGTTGTGAAAATGCCCGGATGGTTGAGGCACCGTTGACCGTCTCCAAAAAGTGACTGTAGATCGGTGAACGGTTAACGGACTCGATTCTTTTCAGCTGTCTGGAAGTGGCCACATAAACTCTCTGTGAAGAGAATATTTAGAAAATGGTCTCGGCTTGCATCGTACTCTAGCAAATAAAGGAAATCGTATGCATGAACGTTTTCCCACCCTTACCATTGTCCTTAAGTTTTCGCGCTTTGCTGCTGCATTCTTTCCTGTTCAGCTTTTCGTCTTTTGTGTGGTTTTGTTTCTAAGTTTAAGCCACGTAAAATTTTGAAGGATTTAAAACTGGTGGTACGGGGAGAAAATTACATGGAGCCAGGAGGAGAACAAACAACAAAGTCAACCTACATATAGCGCTAAGTCTAGGAGTAGGGGAAGAGACCGAACTGCGCAGGGGAGGCGAGTCCTCCCACCACTGTATCCTACGCGCCCGAGGGGAGAAGGTCTCTAACCTAGGCTTGGAAACGTTTTAATTGCACTGCTGAAGGAGACCACACTGGAACAGGTAACCAATTGCCAGCTGACCGCGTTTCGTTTTCTTTGTATATATAGTTGCATCCCATCCTAAGAGGTATCCGTATCAGTAAAAATATTAGCTTTCCGTCCTGACCACCCCTAGTAAGACTAACATTTGAACGTTCACATCTCTAAGCGAGACAAATTAAGAGCATCTCTGTGACTTTTATACGAGAGACTCTTCCCAGACCTGCGAGCCAGTTCTTCCTCGGCTTTTCCTTGCCTTGCAAACGCGCGAACCCAGAGACTCCCGAGAAAGGTTGGTTAAACCCGCAACACCTTTGCCCCGCAGTGACTTGAGGTGGTGGCTTGAATTCTCACCTGAATATATATGTAGAGAACAGCAAGGGGCGGTAGTATCGTCAAAAAAAGTGGAGTGGCATAACTGATCGCCACAATCATCCCGATCACGTCAAAGAAACACCAAAGAAAGTCCGTTAAAGCTCGCTGTAAGTTCTCGTCAATGACATCCATGTCCTTCGAAAATCTGTTTACAATTCTTCCAAGAGGAGTTGTATCAAAAAAGCTCATCGGTGCACGCATGATGTTATTCAAAAGTATATTATGCAACCTGTAAAGAAAAAGAGGGAAGTTCCTAGGAAATGTATTGTACCATGTTAACTAAGGTCCCATCCATACGTACCCGGATATTTTTGAACGGAGCCTTTAGTTTTTTTCGTTGTTCAAATCGGGCGTGCACCGTTTGAATCATGATCGAACAATTTTTAAAGCTACCTTACGATCACTTACTTTAGACACGATCTCCATATGATCAGAGGAAGGGCAAAATGAAGAGAGGATTATCCTCTCTTGTTAAAATATATACGCTAGCTGTACCAGAACGCTCTACTCTTATCTCCGGAGAAGGAGGAGATTCCTACATATCCATATTTTAAGTGAAAGCTGTTGAGCTGCATGTACTTTGGCCCCGCGGTGCTTAAATCTTTTCGGTAGTTTCTTGGTTTTGCGGACGCGTGCACAGTGCGAAGGGGAAAGTGGGGGGGAGGGGGGAGGGGAGGGGGGTAATCCTGGGAATTCTTGGTGGGGGTGTGCCGCCCGGTTCTCCAAATCCTGACCCTATTTCAAACCAAAAAATGTCACTGATTTTTCACACCCATTTTCAGACCTGACCTCTAAAATCTATACCCATTCTCAGACCTGGCCCTAAAGAAATTATGTCATCAATACTTAGATTAGAACAGCAACAAAAAAGACATCTTAAAATCCCATTCGAATTGCCTATTTCTCTTTCTTTCTTACTCATTTGGAATTGAAACGATAAATACGTTCGGACACGCCCGTAGTTCCCTTGAAAGCCACACCCGATTCCAGACCAAAACGGCGCAAAACCCTACCCTTTGGGGCGGCACATACCTATATGGCTTATATAGGGGAGTTCCCCCCCCCGGACTTTCTGCATCGCCAAGTAACACCCATTTTCTCTACAATGTTACTTTTAACTCATTCAGCTCTCTCTTAACGGACACCTCGCGTAAACGAACACCTAGAAGTGGTCCCTGCCTTTTTTTCACTTTTTTTAGCTGACTCTGTATAAGACAGACATTTCTCTGAGACGGACTCTGAGTGCGATCCCAAAGGTGTCCGTCTTAGAGTCAGTGGACTGAAACTATAGCTTTAGTGAAAGCTGTTGAGCTATTCTTTGGCGTGATGCTTAACCTTTTTTTTCTCACTTACTACTTAAATGACACGAAATATGTGCAAATAAGGTAAAACATCTGACCTGCGCGAGGCCACCATGGATCCAAGAACAACAGTTATAGCCTGTAGAAAGGTGAACAGTCCTTGACCAAGTCCAATACCACCATAAACACCGAGATAAAAGTTTCTTTTTTCATTTGTCGTTATATTTGCAGAGCTCCAGTAAGCTAACCACACTCCCGCGCCAACTGTGCAAGCTTCCATCATCAGGAACATGGAGATGATAGTCAGTGACATGCAAGTACCAATAGACTTAAGGTATGATACAAGTACAGAGAATTTGACCTTAAACACAAAAGAAGCAACTTAGCGGTACAAATGCTTTTAAAATACAGTCAATTCTCTTTTGACGGGCACCTTGCCAAAATGGACACCCAAAACTTGCGTCCCCGCCTTTCTTTACTATTTCAGTTGACTCTCTATAAGAGGGACATCTGGACTCATAGTGCCGGTCCCAAAGGTACACCGTCTTAGAGAGTCGACCGTTATAACAAAAACTGTAAAGGTTTTTAAAGCTCTCAGTCCCCAGTCTCTAAATCGACCCCTTATGGCGTTAGGTATCGTTCTGCAATAGTTGGACAAAAGAGCACACAATAAAATTCACATAAAGGAGAAACAAACCTAGGGTATTTAGAAAGTAAGGTCTTGGGACAGGCTTCTCAGTCCAAAGGATGAATACCACGCTTGCCTCAGCTGAGCCACACCAGCAGACACCGTAAAACCGTACATTAAGCCCGCGCATGAATTCACGTTCGTATGCAGTTAGGTCAATGCCTGTAGTACTGAGATTACTCCGATACTCTTCAGATATGAAGCGGGTTTATTAAGTGTCACCCTCCTAGCCGAAACAGCTTTAGCGAGTGTTTATAGGAGAAAAAAGTTGACCTCTTTGCCCGGAGCTCATACTCCAAAATGACGTTTACACATTATGATTCATACATAAAGTATTTCTCTACAAAGGAAGGACCCGCACTGACTATCAATACTGGTTAAGGTTAAGCCCTGAGAATAGTGATTAGGGTTAAGCACTGACCAAATAAAAGGTTAGCTTCTATTCGGGGTTAGGGTTGTTGCTATGTATCTTCAAATCACACCATCAAACGCCAACAAATCCTCAGTGGTGTAGTGCTATAGGTGATGGACTGCAGATTCTTCGCTCCGGGTTCGATTCCCTCTCACACTCTTGTGAATATTTTTGTCCTTAAAAACTTGAAGAGACTTAGTGGGTGTTTACATGACACCGGGGCGACTTTCGCCTAGGAGCGAGTTCACTCCGGTTTCCTCTCATGGCTCTATATTTGTTTACATGATACCACCACAAAATGTCATGCCAGCGCGAGTCACCCCCCGACGTGAGTTCAGCCCGGTTCTTGTACCGGGGCGAGAATTTCCCTCCGGTACGAAATCTCGCAACGGTATCACGTAAACGCGAAACGTCCAACCGTTTTGGTGTGAAATCGGTCTCCCGGTAGACGGGAACGGGTAGCGCATGCGTAATGTTGCGATTTTGAATCTTCCTGAAGTGTACCTTCAAATAACGAGATATGAAATGACCCAGTCACTATGTAAACGCGATGCGAAATCAGAAAGTCATCCCGGTATGAAACTCGCACCGGTGCGAGTTTTCTCATGTAAACACTCCTTAGACTTTCAAGAACATCTCTCAAGCAGAAACTTCAAGAGACCTTGAAATTTCATGTAGGAAAAGGGAAATGTCTCGGCAGAATGACTTGTGAGAGGGAAATGTCAGTTTGAAGTATGGAGATGAGCGCTATCCTTTGCCGGGGCCAAAAGCGCTCGCACATGATCTGATAGTTTAAAAACAGCAGCCGCGCATGCTCTGATTGTCTCACCTTGACCGAGTTGACCCGGCTGGGCGAGCGAAAGTGTTCATAGGTATAAAAGTTGGCCCAGCTAGAAGGGTGACCAGGCTAGGCGGGTCACCCCTCTTCCTGAGTCAACCTTTACTTTCCCTTGTAGACGGTTCACCACGTTGTGTAAGGAAATGTATGAAAAGTCGGCTCGCTCAGGGTAGCTCGGGTAGGCGAGTGACCCTACTACCAGACAAGTTAAATTCTCCATATATAAAGAGCCTTACCCTCCCAGTCTCTGATCTCTCCTTGTTAATAATCTTTCCCGTTTCATCGTCCTCTTCATCGTCAATATCCTTGATTTCTTTAACATCGGTTGTGCTTGTCCTAGAAACACTTCTTTTTAAAGACCATTCAGAATCTGCTGGAAGCAGTAGAAAGTAAGAGATTATTCTTTGCGTTCTAAAAACAGCAGTATCCCAACAAAACAAAACAGTTACCTGACGAATTAACTGAATGATTTTCTGATGTGTACGTTTGTAGGAATTCCGCAAAAGCTCCTGAATTAGCCAATAACTCATAGTAGGTTCCACACTGAAAAATAAAATTATATCAGCCGCGATAACAGGCCTACCTTATTTATAATTCTTAACTTCGCTGTTGAGCACTATAATTTACTTAGATGCTGTTTTTTCACATTGACCAGTTACAGTCCGAAAGGCTTCCGCAGTGTTTCCCAATATGAAATGTACAGATTGCACTCGGTGATGCGCTGAATGTTTGAAAGAATTTATCCGTAATCTCTATTGAACTAGACAACATATCTTAACATGCCTAAGCGTTGATTTTAGCAACATAGTTTTATAATGTGCATTTCAAAAGAACAGTCGACAACAACAATAACTGCAGTACTTGCACAAAACTAAAAACAATGTCACGATGTATATAATAAACGGACAATTAAGCCAACACCTCAGTACTTATTTCAAACACCAAACTGCAAAACCAAGCGAAAATGCATTTTCTTTTAAACAAACCTCTGAAATTCTTCCATCTTTAATGACGATAATTTGATCCACTTGAGGTAGGAAGTGAACGCCATGAGTTACAAGCAAACGAGTCTACAAAGATAAACAGTATAATCAGTGCCGTTAATTACATAATACCATGAGTTAAAAGCAAGTGATTCTATTAAGATACACAGCAATCACTGCTTAACACAGATAATACCAAGAGCTTCACACGAGACTGCAAAAGGATTGTAAGAAGAAAGAAACAGAATACCACACATGAGTTCTCCGCCACTCGCACCAACTAAACATGTTTAATCAAACCAGGTTTTCAAAAATGGAAAACGCAGACGGAAAACTGGAACACAGGTTTTCACACTGGATTTAAATGAAACTTAACCTGTTTTGTAATTTGCAGGTAAATTTACAATTAACTTGAGTCAGTAAGCAGGTTTTATAAAGGAAACGATTTTAAACCGTGTTTAACTAAACAGCTTTTAAACATGTTTAAAATTTGATGTGAATGAGGCTCTACATAATACGAAAGATGGATAGCAAAAAGTGCGAAATAATAATACCATGAGTCGCAAGCAACAAGCATGTCTAGAATAAGAAAGTAATTCTTAAGACAGACCGCAACCAGGGCTAAACATTTGCAGTCAAGCCAGATCAAACGTATTCCCTAATATTCGCAATCGATCCGTTATGCGCGCAGGAATACAGATTTGCAGTTGACACTGGTTGCGGCAACGACTAAAAGTGTTCTTACACGAGACGATCTGCCACGACATTTTTTAGGGCAACAATATTGGAACAATGTTGAGCCATTCGAAAAAAATATCGCCATAATGTTGCATTGCTCTGCTGCGCTGCAAATCTTCGTTGCCAATTGTCCCGTGTAACATTGCCTTAACGGATTCATTCGGAGTTAGCAGGTTAGTTGTACGCACTATTGACCCTTCATCCGTAATGGCCGCTGTGCTGCCGTTTTATGACTTGACAGCTAGAGAAACTAACCTTATTTTTTAGGATTCCTCTGGGACCAACAACTTTATCAAAGATGTGTTTTCCAACATGTGTATCTACTGCACTTAGAGGATCATCCAACAAGTAGATATCAGCATTAAAGTAAACAGCGAGGGTTAGGGTTGTTGCTATGTATCTTCAAATCACACCATCAAACGCCAACAAATCCTCAGTGGTGTAGTGCTATAGGTGATGGACTGCAGATTCTTCGCTCCGGGTTCGATTCCCTCTCACACTCTTGTGAATATTTTTGTCCTTAAAAACTTGAAGAGACTTAGTGGGTGTTTACATGACACCGGGGCGACTTTCGCCTAGGAGCGAGTTCACTCCGGTTTCCTCTCATGGCTCTATATTTGTTTACATGATACCACCACAAAATGTCATGCCAGCGCGAGTCACCCCCCGACGTGAGTTCAGCCCGGTTCTTGTACCGGGGCGAGAATTTCCCTCCGGTACGAAATCTCGCAACGGTATCACGTAAACGCGAAACGTCCAACCGTTTTGGTGTGAAATCGGTCTCCCGGTAGACGGGAACGGGTAGCGCATGCGTAATGTTGCGATTTTGAATCTTCCTGAAGTGTACCTTCAAATAACGAGATATGAAATGACCCAGTCACTATGTAAACGCGATGCGAAATCAGAAAGTCATCCCGGTATGAAACTCGCACCGGTGCGAGTTTTCTCATGTAAACACTCCTTAGACTTTCAAGAACATCTCTCAAGCAGAAACTTCAAGAGACCTTGAAATTTCATGTAGGAAAAGGGAAATGTCTCGGCAGAATGACTTGTGAGAGGGAAATGTCAGTTTGAAGTATGGAGATGAGCGCTATCCTTTGCCGGGGCCAAAAGCGCTCGCACATGATCTGATAGTTTAAAAACAGCAGCCGCGCATGCTCTGATTGTCTCACCTTGACCGAGTTGACCCGGCTGGGCGAGCGAAAGTGTTCATAGGTATAAAAGTTGGCCCAGCTAGAAGGGTGACCAGGCTAGGCGGGTCACCCCTCTTCCTGAGTCAACCTTTACTTTCCCTTGTAGACGGTTCACCACGTTGTGTAAGGAAATGTATGAAAAGTCGGCTCGCTCAGGGTAGCTCGGGTAGGCGAGTGACCCTACTACCAGACAAGTTAAATTCTCCATATATAAAGAGCCTTACCCTCCCAGTCTCTGATCTCTCCTTGTTAATAATCTTTCCCGTTTCATCGTCCTCTTCATCGTCAATATCCTTGATTTCTTTAACATCGGTTGTGCTTGTCCTAGAAACACTTCTTTTTAAAGACCATTCAGAATCTGCTGGAAGCAGTAGAAAGTAAGAGATTATTCTTTGCGTTCTAAAAACAGCAGTATCCCAACAAAACAAAACAGTTACCTGACGAATTAACTGAATGATTTTCTGATGTGTACGTTTGTAGGAATTCCGCAAAAGCTCCTGAATTAGCCAATAACTCATAGTAGGTTCCACACTGAAAAATAAAATTATATCAGCCGCGATAACAGGCCTACCTTATTTATAATTCTTAACTTCGCTGTTGAGCACTATAATTTACTTAGATGCTGTTTTTTCACATTGACCAGTTACAGTCCGAAAGGCTTCCGCAGTGTTTCCCAATATGAAATGTACAGATTGCACTCGGTGATGCGCTGAATGTTTGAAAGAATTTATCCGTAATCTCTATTGAACTAGACAACATATCTTAACATGCCTAAGCGTTGATTTTAGCAACATAGTTTTATAATGTGCATTTCAAAAGAACAGTCGACAACAACAATAACTGCAGTACTTGCACAAAACTAAAAACAATGTCACGATGTATATAATAAACGGACAATTAAGCCAACACCTCAGTACTTATTTCAAACACCAAACTGCAAAACCAAGCGAAAATGCATTTTCTTTTAAACAAACCTCTGAAATTCTTCCATCTTTAATGACGATAATTTGATCCACTTGAGGTAGGAAGTGAACGCCATGAGTTACAAGCAAACGAGTCTACAAAGATAAACAGTATAATCAGTGCCGTTAATTACATAATACCATGAGTTAAAAGCAAGTGATTCTATTAAGATACACAGCAATCACTGCTTAACACAGATAATACCAAGAGCTTCACACGAGACTGCAAAAGGATTGTAAGAAGAAAGAAACAGAATACCACACATGAGTTCTCCGCCACTCGCACCAACTAAACATGTTTAATCAAACCAGGTTTTCAAAAATGGAAAACGCAGACGGAAAACTGGAACACAGGTTTTCACACTGGATTTAAATGAAACTTAACCTGTTTTGTAATTTGCAGGTAAATTTACAATTAACTTGAGTCAGTAAGCAGGTTTTATAAAGGAAACGATTTTAAACCGTGTTTAACTAAACAGCTTTTAAACATGTTTAAAATTTGATGTGAATGAGGCTCTACATAATACGAAAGATGGATAGCAAAAAGTGCGAAATAATAATACCATGAGTCGCAAGCAACAAGCATGTCTAGAATAAGAAAGTAATTCTTAAGACAGACCGCAACCAGGGCTAAACATTTGCAGTCAAGCCAGATCAAACGTATTCCCTAATATTCGCAATCGATCCGTTATGCGCGCAGGAATACAGATTTGCAGTTGACACTGGTTGCGGCAACGACTAAAAGTGTTCTTACACGAGACGATCTGCCACGACATTTTTTAGGGCAACAATATTGGAACAATGTTGAGCCATTCGAAAAAAATATCGCCATAATGTTGCATTGCTCTGCTGCGCTGCAAATCTTCGTTGCCAATTGTCCCGTGTAACATTGCCTTAACGGATTCATTCGGAGTTAGCAGGTTAGTTGTACGCACTATTGACCCTTCATCCGTAATGGCCGCTGTGCTGCCGTTTTATGACTTGACAGCTAGAGAAACTAACCTTATTTTTTAGGATTCCTCTGGGACCAACAACTTTATCAAAGATGTGTTTTCCAACATGTGTATCTACTGCACTTAGAGGATCATCCAACAAGTAGATATCAGCATTAAAGTAAACAGCGCGGGCTAAACTCACGCGCTGCTTCTGTCCACCGCTCAGGTTTATTCCCTAACAACAACAAAAAAGAAGAGAGAAAATAACTTCAAATAACTCAGTTTCATCTTATTTTAGAGGAGTCAGAACAAACTGCACTCAGGGTTCGTACAGATTTTTGGCGTCAAAATTCAAGACATTTTCCCGACTTTTTTCCAAAACAATAATTTCTTTTTCCAGACTCGAGGTTATCGAATATAATAGGTGATCAATAGAGGAAGAAACAAAGCGTTTTTCATGATGCACTGCAGCAAAGTACGGGCGAGATTGAAAAAAATTTGACCAAAACGAAAAAAAAATTCACTTACAAAGCACATGTTATAGCGTTGGAAAAAAAACTCAAGTCTTTCACAGTTTATCTCCATTTTCCAGACTTTTTCCAGGTTAGCTACTGAAAACGATTAGCATGCCCCCACCTGGGTGAATATGACAAACTTACAGTGTAACTTCTTATGGTCACAATAACCGCCGATACATGGAGAACACTCGACCCATGTAAAAATTTCAAATAC